ATATTTTAGATTTTTTATATTTAAAATGAGATGTTTATCCTGTATTTGATTATGTTTATCTGCAGTTAGTTACACGAATTCAGATATGAAGCTTTAATAAGTTRTASTTAYRCAYAWTCTACTTGCAATCTTGAGTTTTAAGTAATATGCATTAATAAACAATATTTTACGTATAAAAAATGATTTTTAAGAATTTTTGTCAAATGCTTTATAATATAATATAGATATATAAAATATTGGAAAATCGTTAATCAAATGTTTTTATAAAGTATCTCGTAACTAATCACCAAACAATTTTATGAATTTATAATTTTATTTTACAACTTACATGAACTTATAATTTTATGAATTTTTTTACAATCCTTAATATGCGATAGTTGTGCTATGAGATAAGAAACATTCTAAATAATACTAGAAGGATACTCATGCAATGCAGTAAGATACATCTCGATTTTAATGTTTTATTTTATTATGTCTCCTATCGATGTTATAATACGATTTTATGTGCTTTTGAGGAAAACGATAATGTTTTTATTTTTGAATAAAACATAAATTTGAAGATATATTAAAAAAAATTAAAAAATATATCGTTATTAGTATCAAATTAACTATGTTAAAGTTATTGTTTTGTTGTGTACTTTATTTAATTCATTTTTAATTATAATTTAATTTAGATTTAATAACAAAGTGATTTATTTTTTATTTAATAATATAATTTTTTATAAAGATAATAATTAAGTATTCTGTTATAACACAATGATTATTCTAATTATATTTTAGATTTTTTATATTTAAAATTAAATGTTTATCCAATATTTGATTATATTTATTTGCACTTAGTTACACGAATTCAAGCATAGAGTTTTAATAAGTTGTACTTATGCATTTTTTAATTGTAATCTTGAATTTTAAGTAATATGTATCAATAAACAATATTTTATGTAAGTACTTATTCTTGAACTATTTTTTTGAATGAAAAAATCATTAAACTTTCTTATTTTTAATAATTAAGTCCAGAAACTATTTCTTTGAATGAAAAACCATTAAACTTTCTCACAAAATAAGGTTCTTAGAAGAACTATCATTCGTGAATTTCTATGTAAGTACTTAATTTGATGAGCTGGAAGTAAGGTGACAACAAAAAATGTAAAAGAAGATTATTTATAAGAACTCCAATGGAGATGCTTTAATGACTTTATGCTCAGGCTGATGTTTCTAAAAACATCTGTAACATATATGTTATATTTAACTTATTCTAATTTGGTGATTTTTCTATTTTTTCTTATCCCCTTCCCCCTCTATTTTAGAGAACAGTTTAACATAGTTGTTGAAGCAAACTTTTTCCAAAATTTCAAAATTTAATTTCTAAAATAACAAAGTTGTTGCCTCTTGAAGATATTTTGACTAAATTAATACTTGATAAATAATAAAGTCTTTAGCTAGGAATTAGATGATATTTTTCTCAGGTCCCGACTCGGGTTAGTTGAAAAAGTTCACCGATTTCTAAAATAACTCGTAGTTACATTGTTTTTAGTGATTAATAGTATCTGATTATTATGATTAAAGGGCCGTTTACCAAACACTTATCTGGATGAGTGCTTACCAAGTCATGTTACCTCATCTAATAAATATGGTTAGGACCAAAAATCATCTCCGATAAGAGCGAGACAAGGACCATGAATCTTACCCGATAAGTGAGGGTGACGACTCTTACCACGGTAAACGCTTACCGGGTAAATTGTTGCATACAATGTCATTTTGATGGATTAAAATCTTACACAATAAGTAAATAACAGTGTTAAATTTTACCGATAAATACTTACAGGGTAAGTATTTGATAAACGGCCCCTAAATCAACATTACAATGAATATTATAATGAAATAGAATTGCTAGTTGGTCACTTGGTCTTGGTCCCAGTCCCAACACAAGTAATACATTTAATTATAAAAAGGCTAACAAGTTAAATTATGATTAAGATATATTGTTAAATTGAAAATAAAAAATAAATGAAAAAGAAAATTTAAATTAAATTGAATGTCAGAAGTGGGATTTGAACCCACGCCCTCTTACGAAGACCAGAACTTGAGTCTGGCGCCTTAGACCACTCGGCCATCCTGACTTGATGTTAAAATCTCTACATTTTTCTACTTGTACCTTAATTCTTCATTTTTTGAGCCAAACCAAGCCTACATTGCACCCTCTAACCCAAACGTTCCTTTTGGTTGGGATTCAGGATTCAGGATTCAGGATCTGGATCGGAATGAATTTGAAATTACTGGTATGTCTGGTTTATTGGAATAGAATTGGATTCCATTATTTATAAAAAAAAAATTAGAAATACTTATAGAAATAATTGATTATATTTTTATTAATTGATTATTACAAAACAAATGTTTTTAACATTTTTTTAAACCGTATTTCATACAATTATACAAAATCACGTGAAATCCCGAGCATTCTGTAAGGATTTCAAAATCCTGTGTTTATAGGATTTTAATTAAATTTTAGGATTTCAAATCAGACAATCCAACAAACCAAACATGAGATTGGATGAATTTAAAATCCAAATCCTCAAAATCCATTATATTCCTGCAAACTAAACGAGATCTAATTGTTTGACATGCAAATTTATATGGTTCATTAATAGCATGGCCACAAGTGATCTCATAACAGGTACAGGGGCAGATGCAATGTTAAAAAGGAAGGGAGGGGGAAAGGACTCGGGTCAAAAACTCAAAAAAAATTATAGGTTAAAATTTAGGTTTTACATGATTTACCTTCCACTTCTCCCCATTACATTTTTCCACGGGCCTCTAACCTCAATCGAAATCGTTATTCTAAAAAAAAATCTGTTGAAATCAATCAAAAAAACCAAAAAAGTTTTTCGAAATCTACAAAAACACTAAAAAATCCCTCGATATCAACCAAAAAGCTTTAAAATTCCCTCGAAAACATTGTAATTAGGTTAAGAACATATCGGGCGATTTTGCGGGTCTTTAGTCTACCTTAAAGATGACCTCCCTAAACAAAAATCTTGAATCCACCACTGAATGGGTATATGTGAGTTTAAACTATCGCATATAAATATTATATACTTAAAAAAAAAGCCATAAATGGCTCCGGAATCTCTTATATACCTTATGAAAAAAAAACCCTCCTAAATTAGTCCCCGTAAAGAGAAATTTCTTTTGTCAAAACGACAAAAACTCGTCGAGCTCGATAGATTGATAATTTAATTTTAGAAAACCATATAATCTTGATTTGTTGGGTAGATATATATATATATATATATATATATATATATCATTAAGAAAAGCAATAGGTCCATGAACCATTCTTCGTCATCAATATAGAACATGTTATGTGTAAAAAATGTCTTCATTTCTGTCACCTTATCCCCTCCTCCTCTTGACTACCATAATTTTTAACTCATCTCATGCCCCCTTGTCCCCGTTACACATAACCATTCTTCTGCCACCAATTCTTCAAGAAATCTTGATTTGTTTTACAGTCTGCAACCTGTTCGTCAAGAATATTTCATGTTTGGCTTTACATGCATGCATATAACAACACTTGGTACGTTCAATGGAGAGAGACCTAATCTGTCAAAAACGTTGATCATACAGTGACCATAAGATTACACTAAAAAGACAGGTGTTTCTGATTTGCTGACCTAATAGGTTACAGCTTCATTCAAATCAGTACGGGTGCCCACATTGCTATAACGTGGTTATATTCTGTTTTGTCATTATCTTGGACAACTTGCAGAGACCAGATTCTTGCAAGAATTCAAAGAATCGTACTTATAAATATCAAACAGTTGTTCATGAAGATTAACTCGGACATTGAGTGGGTTTAGAACAAGAAAAGATGGAAAAAACATCTGCATTACCTCCAAATAGATCCATTAGTTTGCCTTCTAGATTACATCCCACTTCTCTTCGGGCTGAGGCTGAGCTAAACAAGTTACGAGTGTGGGAAGCAAGATTGTCTTCTTCATCCGAAACCCTAACAGCCAAAAACATTCAAACCGGCCTAGTTGGTTTATCGGAGGTGTATAGATGCGTGGAGGAACTCGTTTACTCTTCCCTCACACAACAAGCTCTTCTTAGCCATGGGAAAGTATTAGAGCATGCGTTAGATCATTCAGTTAAACTGCTTGACACATGTGGGGTAGTTAGGGACGCTCAACGGAAGATGAAGGAACACGCCCTACGACTTCAGTCGAGTCTCCGTAGAAGAGGTACAGAATCTAGGTTTGAAGATGACCTTTCTTCTTACATCAGGTTGAGAAAGAAGTTGAAGAAAGAGGCATCAAAGTGCATTAGATCATTGAAAGGTGCAGAAAGGAAGTTTACCCTTGTACCCTTATCAAAAGATTACCATCTAGCAATGGTAGTGAAGGTGCTTAGAGAAGTGAATTTGATGACGTCGCTTGTTTTACGGTCTCTCTTGTTGTTCTTATCATCACAAGGGACTGCTATCAAGAACAGGCATGGCAGGTGCTCGTTTATCGCAAAACTGAAGCCAAAGGAGAAGGTAAAGAAGATCATAAATGAGATGAATGAGGTGGGGAGTGTTGACGATGCCCTCTACCATGTTCTACATGGCACGGAGGAAATACCAATGGCACATAGAAAGTTAGAAAATCTTGTAATTAGTATAGATTGTATAGAGGCAGGACTAGATGTGGTTTTTAGACGATTGATTCAATATCGAGTCTCAATCCTTAATGTACTCACTAAATGAATTATATCAAGTTGTTTTATACTTATAGAACTGTTCGGTGATTTTATTATCATCAACCATTTCGTAATAGATTTTGCTTATTCTCCTCCCACGACGTGCCTAGCTATTACATTTCGGCTCACGAGGAATGGAAAGGAACATATTCTATTTGATCTCATCCTCATAAGGGATCTAGCAGAAAATTTCCCTTCTCTATTCTTTTTCACAAATAAGAAGTTTCATGTAACTGTGATTTACTTGTGATCGACTAAGATGGTGAGGCAAACATAAATAGGGGGGTGCCGAGTGCACATTCACAAATGTTGTCTCAATCACCTTAGATTGCCATAAGGCGGGGGTCAGGGGGTCGCTTCCTTTGCGGGGTTTAAGGGCAGGGCTGTTGGTTCCGTGAGGGTCTACAAGAAGAGAAACAGTTTGTAGAAGGCGGGGGGATGAATACAAACACATTATTTTGAAATTTAAAATATATATTGATAGAGAAGATCAATACATATTTTACAAGATTGTTTGCGGAAAGATAAGGTAATAAAAACCTATCTAAACAATCTTTGGTTATACACAAAGTCTTAGCAAATACAAGAAAAGAAATTGCTGTAAAGAATATCCTTTACTTAAGCTAGAAAATGTTTGAAGTAAGAATTAGGTTAGAGAGTGAGTTGCGCGCACTATGCATGGAGAAGAAACACTTCTATTTATACCCAGTGCATTAAATGAACATTTAATGCAATATGGTAGGGTTAGAGTGCATGTCAAGCCTTAAGAGGAAGTCTTGTCCTTTGCTACAGTGAATAGTACAAAAAGCACTATTCATGAGCAGACATCCTTACTTAAAGTTGGTGGACAAAGAGTCGACTACTCGGCTCCGTACCGTACTAACTTTTATAAGGGTATGGGTTTTGTCCTTTGCGTGCATAAGGACAAAACAACAACAATCGTGCTAAGCAAGCTCTCTTTGATCGCTGAATGCTGGAATGACCTGAAGGTCTCATCATCATTCGCTGAAGCTTGAACAATCTTCACACATATGTAGACAGACTTGTAATCACTTAGTACCGCTTCAGATCACGTACTCGTCGGTCTCTAATCTTCAGTTTCAGTCTTCGACTTTTGCTGAAGGTTCTTTGGTGTGAGTGTTGTCTTCTTAAAGTATTGCTGTCTCTGATAGATTTTACAGTGCAAGTTCTTCAGCGATCACTAAACATACTCAGTGAAGATCGCTGGAACTGAAAATACAGAAACATAAATACAACATATAAGTAAAATGGATTATCATCAAATCACTTGAGAGAGAAGATCAACAATCTCCCCCTATTTGATGATAACAAGATAACATAAAGAAGGTTAATAGTAAGGAAAGTTACATACAAAGTGCATGTCCCTTTTTACTATTTTGGGATCTTTTTCAGTTTGGTCAGTCTCAGCTTGAATTTTTTTTAAAGTTATATTCTAAGAAAATTTACAAGTACGGAAACTGAAACTGAAAGTTTATTCACTGATTTATAGATTGTTAGTGAATGCAAAAAGTAACACTGGAACTCATAGACTTGTGTCCCTATTACTTTTTTCAGGGATCTTTTTTAGTGAAGTACATGGAATACTCATTTTATTAATCATAGAAAATATTACAAGTATTTCAGTACATGTCCAAAACTTATAGAATATAAGTACAATCACTGAAAGTAGGCATAGTACACGAAGTTACAAGGAAAAATAGATTGTTGTTACAAAGAGAATCTTATTCTAGAACACTTAGATCTATGTAATCAGGTACATCTTCACCAAGGTTTCTTCGACGTAGTAATTCCCTTCGTATCTTCAGATCTACGACTTTTCCAGGCATGCTATCATCTATCCAGAGCAAAAGATAAACCAAATGATCCATTGGACATAGATGTAGCTCTGACATTCTCGGAAATCTGACTTCACCTTCATAGTCAAGGAATATAACTCCTAACTCAGGTTTAAATGGCACAGAATTGGGTGTAAATGGACCCTTATCTGGCAAGTCAAGATTCAACATAGAAATGTCTGTACTCTTATGACCGTTCAGGACTTCATCTAAGGAGAACCTTGTTTCATGTTCGTTCCTTAGGAATGGTCCATCATTAGGATCAGAGAGCTTGAGTTTCTTCTTCCCACCTTTCTTCAGATTTGGCCGGTCAGGGACCTTGACATACCTGGACATCCTTTTGATAAGCTCGCTGATGGTGTCCTCGATAAGTGTCTTGTGTCTCGACTTGGATTGCTGAATGGCTTATCTGATCTCCATCCATTCGCTGTATCCATAGCGTCCAAGTTAGGAAGGGTACTCGGTAACGGCTTCAAGATTGTCCCTGGTGATGAGTATTGAGACCAGTGTTCCACCGTCTTTAGAACGTCCGTTGATAATCGAGCGGGGACTGAGTCTCTTTTTCAGTTTTGCTTCGCTCCATTGCTTGTCCTTATCCATCAGCTTCAGGTTCTTCTTGCGTTCAACTTCTGCAATCGAAAGAAGTTTAGCCTGGGTTGGACAGCATTCACCATTTTCTTGGACTTTTTCTTGGGAAGGACATTTTCAGCTAGTGACTTGGCCAGCTTCAAGCTGTCTTCAGTCTGTTTCTTTTGAAGCTTTAGCTCTTCTTCAATCCTTAATGCCTCGAGTATTTCAGCTTCAGATAAGAAGTCAAACACACCACCACTAGAGGTACGAAGAGGGATTTTTACTCTAGTCTGGTCGAGTGACTCATTCAGCTGAGACATCTGTTGGTTGGTAGGAGCACGAGAACTGGGTTGATCAGGTACCCGCTCCAGTCGACTGCAGGTGGTTGATGGAATATGAAGTTGATAATTTGATGTAATCACTACCTGAGAGATAGAGTGTTCAAACAAAGGTTGTTGAGGGATTTTGAACAAAACCTTGAAGTTCCCTTCTTCAGCGACCGCCTTGCCTTTCGACTTGGGGTCCTGGTTCCTTGATGGAGTCAATTCACATTGCCTTTGCTCTCCTTGGGATGCGGAATCCCCGAAAGTAACACCTTTGGTGATGGTTGATGGTTTCTGGAACTTGATGCTAAAGTCATCATCATCATCATCGTCGTCGTCATCTAGATCATTTTCGATGTCTGGAATGGTAGGTTCATCATTGTCTTCATCATCATCTTTATCTTCATCATCATCATCATCATCATCACCAGCAATAGTGATGGTATGGGCATCATCCCTAGAGATGGCATCGACATCCTCAGCTAGAGCAGTTTCGATGGTCGGGATTACAGGAGCAACAACTGCTTCAGCTCTAGGAGCCTCAGCTTCTACTGCAGCTGTAGCTGATACTGGACCAACGGCCTGAGAAGGGGTAGGCACAACATCGGATGATTCATCAGCGTTGGACCTCATCTCCCCCTCTCTGGCTAAGACTTGAGAGAATTTGCCAGAGAGTTCATCCAAACGCTAACGCTGGAGAACCATTGCATCCTCCAGCCTTTGCAAAGCATTGACTAGAGTTGTCATTGCCTCACGCGTCTCATGGAGCTGGGCACGATCATCGGCAGAGAAAGAGGATGCGATCACTGGAGCTGGTTGACGGACAACATCCAGGATCTATTGAAGAAGACCAGTCTGCTGATCAGCTATAGCCTAAGCATCGTCAGCCCTGTAGTGAAGAACATCAATGGCGTCGTTGTTGGCTTGAACAGCTTCTTGGAGAGTCTGAAGATGACTCTGAACTTCTTGAACATCCGCCTGGAGGGTAAGGAAGTTCGTATCAAGATCACCTTGACGGGGCATCTCTTGGTGAACTTCGTTGATCCTGCAGAGGATGGTATCAACGGCTGGAAGGAGAAGTTTGATTTCTGACGCCATATCATAGTCATCATCGACATCTTCATCTCCTCCATCATCTTTCTTTCTTTCTTCCTCTTTTACTTCCTGAGCATCAGACTGATGCATCGAAAAAGGACCTACAAAAGAAGAAGTGTGAGCTGAGGGCTCAAGGTTAGAAGAAAAGAACGGTTAGGAAGATGGAATACCTGAGGGGCCATCAGTGACATCTAAAGGATTGTCACTGGCATGAGCAAAGATGTCCTCGAGATGATGGATATCCGTATCCTGAGGAGCATCGAGAGGAGCACCCTCAGGTCTAGTGGTGCGCGTCTCAGTATCATGGAGGACAGGCGCTGATACATCATCGACATGTGTAAAGACCAAGGAAGGAGGAGAAGATAAAATGGTCGAGGAGAGACGTGGGTGTTCAGCGGTGGCGGCGCTGATATTTACACTTTCAGTGATTTGGGTCCTGAAGTGATTGGTGAAGGTACCACTGATATGACAGTGATGGGAGAAATCACTGAAGAGCTGGGAAGGTAAACAGAAGACGCCTCGGGGGTAAGGCTAGTTTCAATAACTAAAGCCTTTTGAGAGGCCCCAGCTAGTGACGTGGTTGTCCCCTTTTTGGACTTCTTGGCTCTCTGAGGAGAACCAAGAGTTGGTTGAGAGGGTCGTTTTGAACGGGTTTTGGTGGCTTGGCTCGACGCGGGGGGGGGGGAGGGTTGCCCTTGTCATGGCCACCTGAGGAGAAGAGGTAGTGATGGAAACAATGGAAGATAGTGCCACATCACTGACCCTCAGCTTATGATCCAGAATCCTGGATCCAAGCTTGAAATCCGGAAGGTTTCCTTCTTTAGGGTAAAGAGCTTTAAAGATCTTTGAAAACACCATCGAAACAAACCTGGTGTAAGGCACCACATTTTCTCGCTGGCGCTTATTCAGCTTAAACACCAAGTCATCGAAAATGACCGCAACATAATTTATATTGCGACGCTGAATCGCATATATGCCTATGATCAAAGCGATCCTAGAGGCCTGGTCCTGACCTCCAGTTTTTCCACCCATGCACTGGATGAAATGAGAAAACATGTATTTCCAGATAGCTGACATCTTGTTCTTCTCAATCTTCGTCAAGGACTTCAGAGGGGCGTTGGAGTCCTTCTTCATTGGCCACTGGTAGCCAATGGCATCAAGAA